TAGTTACTATGTTAAGGATGGATTGTGGGCAGACAAGTGTAAAAACAGAAGGTCCTGCTGGGAAGCTATTGAAATAATTCAGGTGACAGATGATGGAGACTGGTGAGTAATTCAGGTGAGAAGTTGCTAGTGTGGAGTTCAGAACAAACTACCCCACAGGTGCCTCAGTGGTATGCAGATTTCCTTTGAGCTAAAGGCAACTTTATCTGCAGGCTCAAGAGAAACTTCTGCCCCTTAACTACCTAGAAGACCTTAAATTAGAGAACTTGCTCATAATAAACTATTATTAGAGACAACTTCTTTTGATCCATCTACTGGGCAGGGAAAACTTCTGTTTGCTAAACATCTGTTCTTACTATCCTGCAATGACTTTTTGAAGCCCCCAAGGTGCATTAGCTCATCTCTAGCTCAGGCTGTCTTATGGACCTCAATCCCCCTTTCTATCTCTGAATTTCTCTTGTATGTGGGGTCTCTGACTCTCACATATGCGGGATTCCCATACATACATATACATATACATACACATACACATACATATACACATATACATATACATGTGTTAAATTTGTTTTTTTGTTTGTTTGTTTGTTTGTTTTTTTGCTAATCTCATGTCTATTGAGATTAGACCAGCCAGAAGAACCTTTAGGGTAGAGAAAAGTTTTTTCTTCCCTGACACTGGTGCGGATAATAAAAAGAGGTGAGGGTTGTATATATCTTAAAAGTAGAGACTACAAGATTTGCTAATTTATTGCAGATGGTGTATAAAGAGAACTCAAAAATGTTTACAAGCCTTTTTGGACTGAGAAAAAAAAAAAAAAGACTAGTAATTTACTGCTATATTACAATCTGTGGGAATAAATGGGTAGTAGGGAGATGGGAAATTCAGAAGCTAGGTTTGGGGCAAGTTTATTTGCAAAAGTCTAGTAGACATAGCATGCTGATATGGAGTTGGCAGTTGATTACACAAGTTCGAGAAAGAGATCAACTGGAGATATGCATTTAGGTGGTGTCAATTTATGGATGATAATCTATGAGACTGAGTGAGATTTTCTAAAGTGTAAATGTATGTAGGAAAAGAAAGAGGTCTGAGGCTCAGCCTTAGGGCGCCCCTAACATGTCAAGTCTCAGAAGATAAAGAAAAGTGGGAGAGAACCAGTCAATCAAGTGAAAAGGAAATCAGGAAATATATTGTTCTGGAAGCCAGGTGAAGCAAGTGTTTAAAGGAGGAAGACATGAGTACCCATGTCAAATGCTTCCAATTAGGTCAAATAAGAATAAAGACTGAAAATTGACCATTGGTTTAGCAAGGTAATTAATATTTCTCCTCACTGGGAAGATGAAGCAAATGATGAAACCAGACAACCAGACATGCTGCTTATTTAAAGTCTCCATTACATAATCCTACACTGATTTTAGAATTCTTTATTTTGTTTTATTATGTTTTAGTAATTAATTCCTTATGTCTGTGGCTTGTCTGGTTTTATGTTGGTGTTTTCAAGTTGATCTTTTTTTAAAAAAAGTTATGTGAGGGAGATAAATCAGTGTTATTGCCATGTTTTGAAGAAAATACAGTTTTTAGAGATTAATATTTCACTGCCATATTTTCAGTTAGTAGCAAAGTGGTGACTTCAGCCCAGGCCTTCTGATTCTAGAGCCTAACTCTGTTACTTTAATTTCCATAAAAAAGAGTGGCTTATGTCTCCTTTCTTGTTCTTTAGACTTTTCTTGATTCATTGCCCACTTTTATTCATACTTTCTATTTATTCTTACTTAATCCCTTAAATTTTAGTCCTTAGGTTTTTTTGAACAGCAGTATGCCATGACCTTTAAGGACAAATATCAATATGACTTTAGGGCTTCAGGGAATTTGGACTTCTGCCAGACTCTAAATCCAGAGGATAGTTTTCATATCCCCTCATCTCCATCCTTTCCTACAGGATTTATTTCCTCCTAGCATAGGAGAAAAGCTGGGTAAATTAACAACACTGTACCATTAAACATGTATCTACCATTCTCTTGTTACGAAGATGAGGATTATAGGGTCCAACATCCAAGTACTCAGTAAATCTTGTAAGTGTAATCTTATATATCATCACAACATATGTCTTCTTCTTGACTCTTTCCAAGAGTTTTCTTTCCTTCCACCCTTATATTCAAACATCAAAAGTCTCCAGATTCTTAGTGACATAAAAGAGCATATTGTTACGAATAACCATCTTCCATCTTCAGGTTGACGTTCCAGTAATAGTAATTTACTACTATAGGTCACACACATAAGCATGCATTGGATAAAATTATTGGATTAATCACAAATTTTAAACAATAAAACATAAGTTGCAAAAATCACATTCACGGTGAATTGTATCACTGTTGAATTCTTAGTTATAATATTGTACATTAGTGAGGCAGGATGTTACCATTGGAGAAAACTGAGTGAAGACTATTTGAGACCTCTGTATTATTTCTCAAAACTGCATGTGGATCTATAATTATCTCAAAAGAAAGGCTTTAAAAATATGCAGATAAAAAGACATTTATAGACTCCTTTTACCAAGATCATCAAACTGTCATGATACTGAGAAAGGAATACACCAGGGAAACTACTGTCTTAGGCAGAGTCAACCACGCTAGCCTTTGGGACTGGAATGAGAAAATCATGGAAGTAAATAAACAAAAAGCAATCTGGAAAGAGAAGTGTGGTGATGAATATAAATTTTTATTTTAGCACCAAATATAGTAGTGGTGCTTGCAGTATTATTGTGACTATAAACTCCACTTTCAATCAGCTGCCATACTCCCAGTCAGCCATGTGCTATAGGATTATTTTTTTCACAAGAATATTTAATATATGTATCTGCTTGGCCATAATTCCAGCTTTTAAAACAAACATGCTGCCCTTGTTTCCATTCCATCTCTTTTCTAGTCATCCAACCTTCCTTTCCCTTTCTAGGAATTCTTAACATCATTGACTCCACTGACGGAAGTCAGGCTTCTGACCGCCTAATAAATAAGTTCACCAGTGAAAAGCCTATTTTTCATTCTGTTTAATTACAGGCTTCAGAGACACTCAAAATGGAGGGTATCTTAGGGACAAATAATACTGTAGGCTTGGTTTACTTATCTCCTATTGGCATTGGCACCAAGCCCTTCCTCTGCTTTGAAATTCATGGCTGTGTCAGTGGCTGCATACTAAACAGACTAAAGCTACCACACAGTCTGCTAAGCACCCAGATGCAGCTCAGTTAATTCATATACCTTAGTGGCCAATTCAGAACAATCGTTTAGATAATTAACATGGCTGATTTATTTCTAGTGCAATCTATGTATCTGACCGAAAGTGGATTTATATATTATCATTCTAATTAGATTTGGTGAACTATACTGGGGCTTGAACTATAATACGCTTGTTCTGAATTCTAGATGATTGGCTTCAAAATTGGCTTTTAGAAATATATGTATAATATGAGTAGATGACATATAAAGAATTTTTTAAAAATCAAATATACAAGAAACTAGCAGTGAAAAGTAAATTTCCCTCCTACTCTTGTTTCCTCTGACTTTCATTTTCATTGTACAGAGGCAATTACTGTTAAGTTTCAAGCAGAGACATTTTATGCATATATGAGTATATATGTATAAGTTTTATATATAGAGAAAACACTATAGCTATCCCTTTCTATATATTGCATAAAATGTAGCATGAGGTACAAAATATTCTATAATTTATTTTAATTAATGATAACTCATGGAGGCCTTTTAGTAACAGCATCTGTGACCTGCCCTCACCTTTTTAAACAGCTACCTAGTAGTCTGTTGTGTGGATAAAATCATTTATATTTAACCAGTCTCATTCTAATGGACATTTACTGTTTCCAATATTTTGTTATTACCAGCAATGCTTTGATGAACATAATTGCTTGCGATTATTTGTGCCATCTATAGTAATATCTGTAAGATGCATTCCTGGAAGGAGAATTCTTGACAAAAGGACACATCCAGTTTTTATGTTACTAGATATTGCCTAATTTCCTTCCAGAGAGGCTGTAGTTTCCCCAGCCATATGTGAGAAGATTTGTCTCCCCATTTCTATTTCTCCTTATTATATTATCAATTTTTTGAACTTGCCAATGTAATTATAATTGTAAGTTATATGTATCTAATTATGAATGTGGTTAAGCACCTTAAAAATCAATTGTTACATTTTTTCTGCCTAACCATTCTGTTCTTCATCATTCCCTAAATAATATCTATTCCTTGCTAGTTTAAAATGGCAGCTAAAATAAATCTCTGTTTATTTTAATCTATTCTGAACACTATTCTGTTACATTTATTTTATTGTTTATTACATCAGTCCCAACTTTTTGTAAAATTCTTACTTTAATAGTATCTTAATACACAGTGGTTTAGTGCTTCTGTATTATTCTTTTTCAGAATTTCCCTAGATATTTTTGCAGACTTTTTTGTTGGCGATTGTGTTGGAGCTGTTTCATTAAAATATTGAAATATCTCCTGTTTAAAAGTAGGGTGTGATCAATATGACATAGGGAAAGCTTTATTATGCCCAAAGTTGGATTAGACCTGACACTGAAAATGATGTATAGGAAAAGTATAGCAAAGAGACCAACAAAGGGAAGAACATGAAATAAGTGTTTCAAGTACAAGATTCTATATAAAATCCAGAAATGTCCTGAAATAAAACTTGCACTTGAATGTCATAAGTTATTTAAGCAGCCAGCTGGTTTTTCAGGTCAGCATGTATAGTCCTTGCTTTTAAGGACTTGACAAACTGTACCAAGGTTCTGACCTTAACCTGAAATTCCTTGAACTCTCAGTACTTGTGAGCATGCACCCGACATTCCTGCCCCCAGCATGCACTTTACTAGTCACAAGAAACCATCATTAATGAGTGCTCTGCTAGGAAGCATAATTTGTAGGGAAGCTAACAAGTTCTAAGAGGGAAATAAACACAGACAGCAGACCAAGCAACTTGTCCTTTAAGTATGTCGAGATCCAGACCTTTTAGTTTCATTTCAGTGATCTGCAAAACAGGACCCCTGTGTTTGCCACTATTCCAGGTAACCATCTCTTTTGGGGAAAAGATTTTCGGAGGTACTCTAAACACCTGATTTGTTATAGATTTGTTTTTTTTTGGTAGCTTAACTCCTATATTTAAGCAGCCAACTGGTTTCGCAGGCCAGCATGTATAGTCCTTGCTTTTAAGGGCTTGACAAACTGTACATTTAAAATAATTCCTTTGATAAAGGGTTACCAGAATCTTATGACTACTTATATCTACTGGTCAAAGATATAGAGAACAAAATGATCCATGACGTTAGTCTTATTTCTCTTTTATTTGGTCCTATTGCCATGAAAGTAATATGATGCCATTTATCCTTTGCCTAACTTTGCTGTGTTGTAATTTTTTAATCAAAAATACTATTGACATAGCAAAATACTATGGCAGAATTAATTTAAGACATGTTTGTTAACTGTTCCTTGCAACCACACTTGAGACTTGATCTTTTTCCAATGCTGAGTAATGTAGACAGAACCATCTTAGAGTTTATTTTGGTTTCTGTCTTCTAGAATCTCACTCAGACTAATACTTACTTACACCTCTGTATCTATGTTACTTCAATGTGATGCATCTGAAAGATTTAGGTCTGAAATATATTAAGACTTCGCTCCCCATTTCCTGATAACCCAAAGTCTAAGAGCTAATGCACTGGCAGAGAGGTGGTGGCAATATAATATTGTGTACTTACTAGGGTACAGCACACCAGAAGATCAGGAAGTGACTTGAAAGTGAAATGCTGGCTTTATTTGTTTATCTGTTAAACTAGATCACAAATGATTTTATCTACTCATAAATGAACTTTTTTATGGACATAATTTGAATGTTCATTTTCCTCTCAGTGTGCAAATCTATTTGCAGCATTCTAGCAAAAGAGTGCAACTCATGTTCTGTGCTTATAAATTGTTTATTGCCTCGCTCTCTGATGGCCAATTCATGACTCCATCTACAACTTCACAAGTCTCTTTGCCCACATAAACATGGTGGAGTAAATATAAGGTGCCAATAAAAGATGTGTTTGAGTTGAGGAGGAAAAAGACATATTTCACACAAAATTTCCATGTGTATGATTTTAAATTTTGTGACTACATACTTGGCTTTATATTTTTGTGTTATAGACTAGGAAAATAAATACTTCAGTAACCTCATCGACCAATATTTAGGACTCTAAATAAATGACATTTAAAGATTTTTTTCATTGTACACAGAAGTCTCAGCTCAAGGTAAAAACAAACAAAACCTCTAGAAAGTACTTTCTTTCCTCTGCGACGTGAGTTACTGTAACCTGTAAGGCTAAACACAGAGAAGTAAGATAATTGTTTTAAATTGCTTAAGTTTTAGGCTTTTAAAACAAAGCCATCAGATTATTACTTTTCCCCTCTTCTTTGATAAAAGGAGAAATGTCAACAGGAATGTTATGTGATCTTAAATCGACTTTAGCCTTAGAGCAGATTTAAGTGAGTGCTTCACGCATATGTTTAACACCTATGAATGCTAATGACGTGGAGTTCTGTTTTCATGTAAGGAAACTGATTCCTTTGTATAGAAATAATACAAACGATTAACCTTCTTTTTCTAGCTAAAATGTGAAAACAAAGAAAAAATGCAAGGTGCACAAAAAGCTCTTTAGATAAGCAAACAAAATCTTCCTATAGAAAAAACTAAAAGTGTTTTCACATCCATCTATTGTGTTGAATAGGATAGGAATCTGGCTCACAAAATTCATCTCTTGTCACTGCTGAGCTGGAAAATATACCCAGAGATTTTTTTTTTCTTTTTTCAATTAAAATTCTGTACACCAACAATAGACTCTGCTGCAGAGCTTTTAATTAAACAAACAGACAAACAAACCAACAAACAAAATTATATAAACCCACATTGTCTCTCTGTGCTGTTTTTATTAAAGGATTAGATTGATGAGATGTTTGGATTTTACTGTTCTAAACATGTGTTTCAGTTGGTGCTCTCGGATCTACCATGTGAAGAAACTGAAATGTAAGTAGCAAGAGGCTCCATGTTTTTATTTAGCATTTTCAAAATTCAAAGAATAAAAAAGGCTCAAGTCATTTGAGAAGACCCGAATGAGTTTCATCATAACCATTTAAGAAAAATAAAAGTAAATTGTTTTAAATGCAAAGAGATCATTTGTTCTAAAAGCAGAAAAAATAAACTTTTATTATTGTTACCGGAGAGTGAGGTCTCTCTCGGAGCGTTGTCCAGGTTCTTGATGTCTCGAACAAAGAATCAAGCAAGACACCCAAATACAACAAAAAAGAAAAGCTTTATTAAAAGAGAAAGTATACTTCCAGACTTGGAAGCAGGCCTAAGCAAGAGAAGCATGATTCAAAGTCCTGGTAACAAAGCCTTTGGGGTTTTTAACCCAATTTGCTGTGAATAGTTACTTTTCATAGAGGAGTGGGCTTCCTTGATTGACAACTAAGATTGACAAGACTCAGTATTCATCATTTGCTTTCTGTGCATGTTGGTTCCAAGAATTCAGTCCGTTATAATGATTTTAATGAACTTCTGGGCATATGCATCATATTATAATGATGGTCATATTATAATGAGGCTCAGGTAAATTGAAGATCATTGAGGTCTTTATTGCACAGGTGCGAGTGACTGGCCAAAACTAGTACACAATTTCCTATTCACTTATTTCTTTCTGTAAGTTACTGTTAGCCCCAAAATGCCTCTGGCTTGCTTAATTGTGGGTGTACTAGGGTGTACCCCTTCTAGGAGAGGATGTCCTCAGTGTCTGCAGGCAGACCCAAAACCCCATAACTAACTTTCCTACCTAACTCTTTTCTAACAGCCATGAACCCCCTTATTATTAGTATAGATTTTGAGGGACGGGGAGTTCTCTTCTGTATCTGCTTGCTGCTGAGAAGGGATTGCCCTTATGTCTATTGCGGTTTCACGGAGCTCTATTTCCCTTTCTGCCTTAGTCAGGGCAGAATCTTGGGTTTCCTGAAGAAGTGCTGCCTCAGTCCCTAGACAAGGAAAAGAAGATACAAACTTGTTATTTAAATCATATATCTATTTATTTCTATTATTGATTTGCCTATTAAGAGAATAATGGGAAACAGGCTTGACTGACATATTCCTTAAAGAGTAAAAAAGGCCTTTGGCCTAAAATCCCCTCCCCTCTCTGACTCTATGGGCCCTGTCTGGCCTATCGCCATTTCTGCTAACAATGGGCCCATGACCCTTATCAATAGTCAGAGTGTCTGAGTCACCAGTTTGGGGGCAATTATCAGAATTTGAAGGAGAGGACATTTCTCTCAAAGAAAGGAGAAAAGAAAATTCAACTAGGTTTACTAAAAAGATTAAGAACTCAGCAAGAGATGTCCCGTTTCATTTCCTGCTAAAAGATTAAGAATTTTACAAGTTATGTCTCATATCATTATGATTAGCTTTGTTAATAAATAAGAGACCTATTTGATTTCTGAAGATTTTTGCTCAATACATTCTCCACCCTTGAGGTTTCAAGGTTTAAATTCAAAAAGAATCACAATATCATCTATGGCTCATCCATACTTATAAGTCACACGAGTGATAGGAGGCAGCTTTCTGGATAATTCATTTTCAAATAACAGCAAACTAACCAAATTTCTAACCTGTGTTATGTGTAAATTTCAAAGTGCTTTTGATATATAGGCATGTGCTATTTAACGACTGGGATACATTCTGAAAAACGCATTGTTAGGTGATTCTTCATTGTGAAAACATCATAGAGTGCATTTTCATAAACCTAGATGGCATAGCCTACACTCCTAGGCTATATGGTACAGCCTATTGCTCCTAGGCTACAAGCCTGTATAGCATGTTACTGTACAAAACAATATTAGATTAAATCAAGCGTAAGAAAAAAATGATACGATCAAGAGTCTAAGTAAACACAAGATGTATGAGGCCATTACGGGCATAATATGGCATGGTTGTACAGCAATTTTTTTTCGTGAGTAGAAAGAATAGACTCTAAAATAACAATAAAATGTATAGCATAGTAAGTACCTAAACCAATAATGTAGTCATTTTTTATCATTATCAACTATTATGTACTGCACATAATTGTATGTGCTATACTTCTACACGACTGGTAGCACAGTTTGTTTATACCAACATTACAAACATGTGAGTCATGTCTTGCACTATAATATTATGAAGGCTACAAGGTCACTAAGCTATAGGAATTTTTCAGCTCCATTATGATCTTATGGGACGATTGTCATATATGCAGTCCATCGTTTACCAAAAAGTCATTATGCAGCACAGGACTGTAAATTATGTGAATAATTGACTTAATTTTTTTACTTTTCATGCTGTAGTTTTTAATGGTTCTCAGAATTCTATTCAGGAGATGAGAAGGAGGTGCCATTAATAACGCTGCTCACGATTAATGAAACTGTAATGCAATGTGACTTAGTCTAAATTTCAGAAAGGCATGTCTGCCAAGCACTGTCTTCTGGGTGTAGCTCTCATTTACCAGCTAGCTATTCTCAGTTGTCATTGCCTGTAACCCTCAAGATCAGGGTCTCTGTGAAATGCCTCCAGATTAAGATGCCATAGTAGATGGGATGATTTTCTTGGCTCTGGACTCATTCACCTGTTTCTGGTAAATCATCTTATCATTTATAAATTGCTTGTTAGGATTATGCCATTCTTTCAGCTTTTACATTGCTCTTCATTGCTGGTTCTTTTGTTGTTGTTGTTTGTTTGTTTGTTTGTTTTGCATTAATTCTGGACTTGCTTTTTTCTCTGCCTGTCAATAATAAGACTGACGTAATAAGACTATTTGATCATTGGTGTGCTTACCTAACTTTGGATCTCATGGCTACCTCATCTTGCTCCTTCATCTTCTGCCTTTGACTCAGAATAATAGAATAAACAAATTCATAATTGGAAAGGTTTGTAAATGTTGAATGTAACACTCAAATCAACATGACAGAAAAATATGCTATTGAAAAACTTTATAAGCTGACTTTAGAGTCACTGAGACTACTGGTCTCCTTTTCAGGTGAAGAAACTGAGACCCACAAAGGGATAGTATCAAATGAATTGCAGGACTTCAACTAGTACTTAGGTACAACCATTTCTGGCTACATCATTTTGTATGTAAGTTTCTGTTACATTTGTTGTTATTTAATACCACTGTTTTTGAGTGAAAATAAGAAACCACTTCAAATAAAATACAAATTAGCAGAAAATAAACACAGGGAAGGCCAAAAAGTAGCTGACTTTGTTGGGAGATAGTATAAAATAAGTAACTATAAAAGATAGACACAATATCTCAAATCTTTTGCCTCCACAAGAAGGTGTTTATGGACTCTATTATTAGGTCTGTTTAAATTTATTTTCAAACATCAGAGTTTTTTCTGATCTAACCTACTCAATTTATTTTTTATAATTGCATTTTTAGTATGAAAAATGTATAGCTGTAGTGTTTTCATGTAAAATTTAAATACTGTAAGTACTTTTGTATATAAAATAAAACATGACAGAGCCCCCTTCCATAATTATACCTCTAAATTTTCCCCTATCCAGAAATAACCAAGTACCCTGATGTGCATATATGTACGTAAATAGGGTAATTCACAAAAGATAAATTAATCATACATATACAGGATTGTGTAAATTGATTGTATTAACAGAGCCCTAATGAGGGGCCACCATTTTACCTAGCTTGCAGAAGTTAAGTATTTTGCTCACGAGTAAGCAAGTAAAGGAAGAACTTGGATTTGGACCTAGGACTGACTCTTGAGCCAAAACTTTTCACTACAAAGCCATAATGTAGATCTAATGTTTAAATAAAATTATACACCTGATGAAATACCTGAAGAATATACAACCTATCCATTCTTCTAGACATTATATAATTTACTTTAATGTAATTAAACCACCAGTCTCTGGGTAATATGATTTGGCACCCATCTTTTCCCCAAATTATTATAGCTGAATTGCACTTTGGCCTATGTTAAGGATGATTTAAAAAAAAAAAAAAAAAAGACCCATGAAATTTGTTATTGCATTTGTTCTAAGAGTACTATGAAAAACATTCTTCCTATTGTTAAGTGTCCTCTTTATGAAGCCCCATAGTTTGAATATTTCTCTGGTTACTGTGCCAAGAATGGCTGTGCTTCTGGTGAATAAAGCTGCCTGTTTTTGTTAATTTTAGAGGAAACTACATGACCAATTCTCTCTCTCATCCTATTAACTGCTAGAAAGCTTAAGCCAGATCTAGAGTTCAGTTCTAATTTTATATGTGGAATTTAACTACATTCAATTTACAAACTGATCTCACTCTTGGCTTCATCTCTTTGTCTGATATTCTCAATGTTCTCATTTCTAATTTATTTTTGTGTATTTTTTAATATTTCCTTAAAGCATTTTGGAACCCAGATTATTGAATGCATTCAGGTAGTACTCCACACCATAATACGAGGCTGGAGCTACCTTCTACTGTTCCCAGTTTCAGTGTTTCATGATGGTAGGAGACACGGGCTCCAAAGCCATCCCATTTGGATTTAAAGCTTGTCTCTGCCACTTTTAGCTATGTTTTCTTGGGCAAGTTACTTAATCTCTCTATGACCAAATTTTCTCAATTGTAAAATGAGGATTATCATGGTATGACCTTACCTTACAGTACTGTAATTTTGAAAGTGAGATAACTTACATGAAGTTATAAAACTGGTTTAGAAAAATGCCTGGCACAGAAAATTCTGGGTGAGTCTAGTAGAGAAGCCAAAGGAACAGCTCTGCAGTTTTCTTCTTAAATTTATCAAAGCAATTAATTTGTGGTTAATCTTAAGTCTACAGAGTCTCAGAATTGAAAAGAATAATAAAGATTAACTAATCTAACCATTTCTGTAGAACTGAAATTACCTTCACAACATCCAAGTAATATAATGCACCAGTCATTTTGGTAGGGACAAAATTATCTCCTTCAACAATGGCTTCTGGAGAACTCTAATTATTGGAAATGTCTTCCTTAAGCACACAATCAATCCTCACTTCTTTTGGCTGTTTTTTTTTTCTTTTTGACATCACTATCCCAATTTGACCAAGCACATGCAAATCTCTGAGTAATAATTTCATCTTAAAAAATTTAACTTATTCTACACTAAAGATCTTGCATCTAAATTTTCAGTAATTAGAATATTGTTACAGTTCAGATACCGTCTTTTTTTTTTTTAAGAACTCAAAGAATTTCTGTTTAAAAATTGAACTTGAGAAAGACATGGAAATAATGATGGGGAAGGAAGCACACAGGGTCAGAAGACCCATATTCTAGTATAAGTTCTTTGTGCAGCTCCCCGCTTACTTTCCCACTCTGGGCCTCAGTTTTAGAGTAGGTAAAATCCTCAAGGCTAAATAAATGGTGTCAAAGGTGCCTCCAATTCCTAAATTACACGATCACTTTGGATTTCTCCAGCTAACTACTTCCTGACCATTCTGCTGCATATCAGAAACTCCACCAGTTGGTGCACAGGGCCAGAAAGGAAAAGTGAAATCGGTCAGTTGCGTAATTATCAGGACCAGAAAAAAAATAATGAGTGGCACAAAATTAAAACTTGGAAATAAAATGAGGTAGCTAATATTTAGAATTGACATTATAGGAAGTAGGTGGTCTATTCTTAAATGTAAAGAAGAGAAGCAGAGATTTATGTACAGAGGGAAATGAAGCAATCCACACTCCCAGTCATGAGCTAAGATTTCAAGATTCAAAAATAAAAACCTTCTACTCTTTTATTAAGCTAAATCACCAAGAAAATTGTCCTACATCTATATGTAAAGTGGATACTACATTTTAAAGATTTTTATATGTTTAATGCAATATTTACAATTTTATGACTACAAAAGTGATGTATATATATTATAAAAATTTAAACAATACAGAGATATTGAAAAAATAAAGTGCTTCATGACATTATCTCCAAGAGAAGCAATTAATTTGATGTATTAGAACCATATGGTCATTAATTTGATGTATTATAACCATATAGTACTTATTTAGTGAAATCATTGTATTTGTGTAAAAGAAAATATACACAAATTAGAAATGAGCTCTCCATATTATTTAACTTAACAAGGTTTTTAATTATAAATACAAATCTACATCCTTTTTGATGAGTAGATAATATTCCTTTAAAAGGATATATCATTATTTTAAAAATTCTTTGTTGATGATCATTTGCCTTAAAATGCTTTATAGTCATACTTTGGCTACCATTTTTTCCCTCAGCCATCTGTACTTATGCATTTGGCTAAACCCTATAAGTGCACACACACACACACAAAATCAAAACACTTATTGTCTGGTGATTGACTTTGTTATAAATATTTGGAGTAAAATTTTTAAGTTGACACTTCACATATAGTGATAAACAGGACACACTCCCTCCATAATTCATAAATTAACTGATATTTATGAATGCTTTCAAGCTGCAAAGTACTGTTATTTTAACAATGGCTGAAGAAGATATCATTAAATATAGCTCCATCTCAGAAGCTTATCAGGTGGTGATGAACAGGTTTCCACTGCTTAATACCAGAACAGTTTAACAGTGGCCCATGTACTGAGATACAAAAAATGTCCATCAGCAAAGTCCATCATTCAATGATGCACCATGTCTGGCAGAGTGAGGGACTCTGGAATGAATAGCACATAAGTGTCTACACCTAGAGGGGCAAAATTCCTGAAAATCACACTGTGAATTTTGTTTTTGTGTGATCTTTTTAAACTTATCTCAAGAACGATTGAGTTGTTCCTAGACACACAGTGATTTGACCATCCTGACTGAAGAGGTCAACTTCTCACTACTGAGTAGATGGTATATGTGGCCACACACATTCATTTTCTTTTTATGCTAATTTCTTCCCCCAACTAGGGTAGCAAAGCTGCTATTCACTACAATAAGATTACAAGTTGATAGAGACTGTAAACAAGCTTTGGAGAGTTTGCATTTTAAATAAATTTAGGTCTCTGAATAAATAAAATGGTGAAATGGTTATCTACCTAATACCTAATACCTATGACATATTATACCTGAAAATTTAGTCACTACCTTCCTCATGTACAACAGTATTTGTAACTCTAGTTACAACTCTAGTTGTAACTACTACTGTCCAATTATCTGTTTAAGTATCTGAGAGTTTCACATTTGCATGTATTCTCAGTGTCTTGAATGAAATAGGCATATGACAAACATTTGCTTAATTGTGTTGGAGTGTTGCAATGAGAAGATGATTTTGGGGGAAATAGGTGTGGTCAGAACGAATATTATGGTTCAAAAGAATAGGCTTTGGCCATCTAGAGGTCCTACATTAACTGTTCTTTCTCGCCAGGTGCGTAAACTATAAAGATCAATACCCAAATGACTGGCATATCTGGTAAGGACATCCTCACTTTGTTTTATGAAACCTTTAGTTATATAAACATACTTCTTTTCCTAAATACTTGAGATGGCACATGAAATCATACAGCTTAAGAAAATTTTAGGGGTTATGTGAATCAATATATGTAGAAATATCACTTTCAGTTTGTTGTCCAGTGTTTACTTAAATATTCTCTATAGCAGAGAACTTACTGTTTTTAAGAATAATAGTTTATTCCCAAGTCGAAAATCTTGAAAGGTAAAATAATTGTTATTTTCTCTTGATATCTCCTGAAATCTCTCTTCCATTAAATTTAGTTCTGGCCTTAAAAATCATTTCAAAATAAGACTGCTACCTCTTTTACAAGCTAGACTTTTAGAAATTTTGAGAGTTATTATAACCTCCCAAATGTTGATTTCTATATTTTCCAAACAAAACATTACCAATTTTCTCAATTAGATAGCTCCTAAAAGACAGAGACCATGTCTTAACTTATCTTGTCAACCTTTGAATCCCCGACCCCAACATCTACAATCTGTTCAGTTGCTTAAATACTAGTTGAATGAATGGATTGATGGATGAATGAAAAAGATAACAGATAATGATTTAAAGAACCAAGAAACTGCTCCTTAGAACAACCCTCCAATTTTCAGAGGAAACAATTATGATCACCTGACAAGATCAAACCACTGAGCTCAGCAAACATTCCAATTTCAGTAAAAACTTATGAGTGGTGGTGAGGGATTGCTTAAAGCATTCAGCCTCCTAGATTGCTTGCAATCAATCTTGCTGAGTTCTTGCCCCCTTTCCTGAGATTAATAGGAACTCTTAACTTCCTTCCCTTCATGCTCCATCTCATTCCTCCCCTGCTTCTTCTGCCATCAGGTTCTTGCTGCTGATTTTCCTGGTAGCTTTGCTCTGTGGAGCAGTGCTTTTCTGCCTCCAGAGGTGTCTGAGGAGATCCCAGACTGGTTGCCCAAGACATACTATGGCTGTTTTTGCTGTTGGAGACTTAGACCCTGTTTATGGTAAGCTGTCTGCATACTCTGGACTTCCTCTTTGAAACCTATGGTTTGTGGTGAATTGAAAAACTGACCTCTGAAAAGCATATTTGTGAGCTTACAGCAAGATATCATTTATTGAAGATTCAAAGGCACACATTGGAGAGAGTCTAAGTGAGAAAACTTTAGAATAAATGAGAATTCAAAAGAATTGTTGGGTAAATGACTTACAGCTGAGTATGGGTATAGAACCTAACCATTTTGCTCAAAAAAGAGAAGAGATATACAGGATTGTTCAAGTAAGTGGTAGGGTTTAAAATACAGAAAAGTATCTCTGACATTTTGATATCGGTCTATCCTGTGTTAGTCTCATTTATTAAGCTCTCCATGCCTCATTTATCTGCAGTAACATTGAACCGCACTTTCCAGATTGTCCACTGCCAATGCAAAGTCTGAAAACCTTAGAACTGGGCAGAGTATAACACTCATATTTTTTTTCCCCAGACACATTGGCAACATCCTGATCCTGCCTGCTACCACCTATTACCCTCTAAACCATGCCCTTTCTATTATTTTCCAGTCTGCATAAGGAGGTAAAGAATGGGGAAAATTTAGGTCTTAGAGTTATTTGTAACTGTTAAGCATCTACTCAATCTGTTATGAGACTTTCCTTCTAAAGTACTGCATTCAATACCACAGTTACCTCAAGAGTGCTTGGTAGAGATTAACAGTTGCCCTTCAGAATTTTGGACCAGATAAGATTTTCAATAGATGGAACAGGGCATGTCCTGGAAAAACTAACAGCTAAATAAAAAGTGGATAAAAATAATCTAAAATGTCATAATATCAAAACTCATTACTCTAAGATTTAGTGATTATGTTCACTATTGACTTTTTAAAGCTATTATTTAACAAGGGAAACACATTGTCAATTTGAGAAATGGTTATTTTGGGAAAGATAATTAAAATCTCCAATGAAAATAATTCTTTCTCTTAAAATAAAAATATATTTTTCACTGAGCAGAGAGGGAAATAGAGTCACTGACCTTCTAACTAAATACATTAGTCAAAAGGGTCAACATGGTCACTTTGTTCTATTTTTGTTCATTGAACTAGAAGTGTTTAAGAAACAAATGCAATTATGTTCCTTTCAACTTGACTTGAGTTTCGAAAGAGGAGAATCCACCTGGTCCTTTTAGCCCTTCTCTTACTCTAAGGAAGACTTTTCTAGCCTTCTTAAAATCTTAAAAAAATAAAATGTTTTTAAATTTAAGTAAGTTATCCAGTTATACTGTTATAATTTGAAGGTAACTTATATGCCACAGTTATATCCTCATTTATCTAATGCTTTTATACTTTTTGTTTGGTGCCTTACCTACATGCTTTTGAATTTGCCTGAACTTTCCTGAACAGGTATGAGTATGAGAGAAGAAGTCAAGGCTGATATGATACTTCAGTAATCTGCATGTAATAGCACTGAATGCAGGGCATTAAAATCACATTCCCTATATTAACCTGAAGTCATTATAAACAGAAAAAAAAAAAAAAACACGTAGAAAGAAATTGTTTTCTTTTCTTTTTTTTAAATAATGTACTCACATTATACTTCACATCTACCAAGTGCTATACATTAGGTCAAGGGCTTCTCAGATATTATCTCTAATTCCTAAATATCAGCTTCTAAAATGGCTATTACTTCTCTTAAAGGATGTTATATATTTTCTCACTCTACTAGATAAATATGCCTCACAAACTTTTGCTGCAAGTCAACTAAGAAACTGCAAATTATCCAGAATTGAGGTTATGGAGCCAAAGAAAATTTGGGCAGGGCCTTCATGGCTTAGCCTCTTCATGCTTCGACAGACACTAAGTAAAGCCTTGTATCCTGAATCTCCAGACATTTCCATATTGTGATTCCTTAATGCTAGAGATTGCTTTTCAGAATCCTTATTCCCTCCTTTATTCTATTAGTCCCTCTTTAATCCCATTGGTATAGCTCTGGATCTTATTTTGGGCAAGGAATACTCTCCCCAAGCTTAAGTTGTATTACAAAGTTCACTTTTTATTGATTTCCATCTTAGAGACTACAGATTCAGTTGCCCCTCCTCATTTTTTTTTTTTTTTGTCTACACTGGTTGTGTTTTAGATTATTCTATCCACTGCCCACCTCCCATCCTGTCCCAGAAATGCTCAGAGTGGCTGTACAGGCAGTGAACATCTTTTCACATAGTCTTTGATGTAACTGTGTCTCCCAGAATTGTGCTTCTTGGTGTTTTTCTGTCTCCTTGCTAAAACACAAAAGAGTAATTTAGGAAGTGGGATTTTCTGTGATCTCTAGTCAAATCTTCTTAACTCTTAATAATTTCTGGAAGTAAATTCCAGGAAGTCAGTATTTTAAGGCAGTCTGAAAGCCACTCCCACACTGGATTTCCTTTCCCCACTGGATCCTCATTGTGCTTTCACTTCTCCAGACAAATTATTCTTCCTATCTAATATTTCTGTAAAAGAAGCTGTTCTCCAAAAGAGAAGTTAGGAAACCACTACAGGATCTTTTCATGGCTACAGAGAAAGGAAAGGGCCCAAACCACAGCATCTACCTCCACAGTCCCCACCAAATATGTTCTCATAGCTTGGAAAATCTAACTGCTGTCGGCTTCTTATGCCCACTCTGCAGGTTATGGGGTTGCACTTCTGAGTCTTCTTCACTGTCACTGTTCAGAAAGGGGAAAGAAAAATGAGAACTTACTCGAAGACACTGGTAACATACTAGATAGAATATAAAATAGCGTTTCCAGATTCCCTGCCACCCCTTAAGCACAAAGGGGACAATAGGCTGTTCCCTCCTGAATACAGAATGTAGGAAATAAGGCCATTTAAAACATTTTAAAGGAAAAACTTGATTTGTTATATTAACCTTGGGTTCCTCCTAGACCTTTATTCTATTTCCTCAGAACTTATTTTATATTATACCGCTATTTGCTGAATCTATTAGTTGAAATAGCTCTGTTCTTCTGACCTGTGGGTCAGAGGTTTGACTTGCAGGACCTCACAGAAGCTGTCTAAATGGAGAAGAGCCATGAGGAAAATTTTGATTTTGACTATCAGAGGCTGGAGTGGACTGAACTTCACTGATGTTAAAATACATAAAATGGAAAACTTATTTCACTAAAAATTTCTGATAATATTACATTGCTCAGGTAGCCAAATATCTTGACTGGAAATATTAAAGAGAGAAAGGAAAACACTTGGCTTGGGAACCTCATCGAAGTTGTTTAAGAAAGTCCTCGCCAGCCCAGGCCATCTAAATGTCTGATGAGATTTCTGTCTGGGAAAGGTCTTTGGAAATCTCAGCCAAACACTGCCCCCAGTAGCATTTCCTGAGACAATAAACATGACTTTTCACAGTTCTCTGATGATCTGGTGCTTAGATTTCTCAGTTTTCTTCCCCTCTCATAGGATCTATGTTTTCATGTCCATAACATGTTATGATGAAGCACCAAAAAGGGAGAATTAATCCCTCCGATGCCCCAAGGAAGGTAAGAAAGAAAAGGAGGTGTTGTTAGAGAAAAAGGCGAAGATAGAAAGACCACAAGAAAGTCCAGAAGGTGGAGGAGAAGGAAAAGAATGAAGAGCAAGAGAAGTAGGAGCCTACGGTTTGAAGTTGGAGACCTTTTAAGGACTGCTAGTTAAAACTTATTTTATACAAGCCCTAAAATCATGTTAGTTTGTTCTTCACAGGCCCATGTCCTCTTTGTGAACCCAGCCCCAGTGTCTCCTAGATACTCCTTTCTTCCCTTATTGTTCTGCCTCCATCCCTGACACATCTTGATCCTGTTTTCCTTTATCATCTCTGCTATAACCTCAGAAAGGACCCATTCACTGCCCTCATGTGTTGTTGAATGGGATCCTCTATGAAGTGTTCTCTGGGACGTTGCTCATCTCTCTCAACCACTGAGCACTAACAATTCTAGTATAATTTAGGCATGCTTTGTTTGTTTGTTTGTTTTAACACCTGTGTAAGGAGTAAAAATAATGTGTTTCAGTGTTTTTTTTATCTCATTATCTCACCTGTGCTAATGATACTTTTGGAATCCATCCTTTCTGATAATGCAACAGAAAACTCAACATATTTGCAACCAGTTTCTTCCTTCTTCAGATGTAAATGAATGGAAAGTGAGAACAAATACTAGACCACAGAAAATGATTTTTTTACAAAGATGAGGAAAGAAGAGGTGAAAATCATTAAAATTCTCACACATATCTCAAATTTCTATCATCTGCAATCAATGCTTTACACCTTATAAGACCAAGGACTATGTCACAGGGTGTATAGGTAGAAAATACATGTGATTTTAAAAAGAAGAAAACAAAAAGTTTTTTTTTTTAAGGTTGTTTTATTTTTTTAATTTTGTATTTAAAAAAATAAGACAAAGGGGTCATTAAAAGTTTTAAAGTTTATTATAAACAAGTGTCTTTATAATTCACTGTAAATATGGATGTTATAAATTTCCATTGAAAATAAGGTTGTGAAGCTGAATAAAAGCATTTATTTATGAGGAGATTAAGACATTTAAAGATAATAAAGAGAAATAAATTTGGGGTTTAAGAAGTGAGAGAAGATCAAAAGGCTTGAGGCAGAAAAACAATCTAATATTCATTAGAAAAGAGAGAATTTGAGTGCATAAAAGAGGGATCCCAGACATTATTTCTCCATATTTTTTAACAAAAAAAAAAATAATGAATTGCTATAAAATCTACACTGAATTCTTTCTACATTGAATCCTTCCTTTCTATTTTGCATGGATCAGATCTGGATCCCCTCGGCCTTGACAAGGCAGCAAGCAGGTCTTTTGCCTTTCCTGAGAAGACCTTGAGGTGAGAGGGATGCTGAGATACCCCTCCTGAGAACACGCATTCTGGCTTAGCTTCTCTTCAGGGCTGATCTTACTGATAATGCTGCCTTTTAACTATCCAATCTCCTTGACCCCATTTCTTTTGCAATTTCAGAGATAATCTTTTCTTTTTCTTATTCCATGGAAAATAGAAACACTAGTCTTCCGACAGTGATAAAATGCCAGTGCTCCAAGTTGAGGAGGGGAAGGAGGATTGGAGAAAGACAGACAAGAGCAGATCTTTACATTCTCTGCTCCCTTCTCCCTCGAGCTCTCCCAGGATTTTGTCCTATATTAGAATCCTTTTTGAAATGTCATTTC